TGAACCTATTCTTTTTTTAAAATGTAGTAATAACCTGTTCTTGAGCTAGGAAGGATTCTTCACTGTGTCATTTGACTTACTGCTTCGTGAAGAGAGTCTTCAGATAAGGCAAGAAATGAAATGGAAACATTGATGGTAAAATAACTTTTTGTTACTTGCATCGTACTAGGGGCAAATAAACCATGCGTATTTATCACAAGTAAATTAATTATTTTGTTCAAGGCTATTTATAAAGCTTTGCATACAGAGAAATGTTTTCAGAGTAAGACCAGCAAGTCATTCAGGTTTTTGTTCAAGCTGAAGTGGTTTAGTTTCTGTTGATCAGTGAGATGTACCAGGCTTGAACCTCTCACACTTCCTTGGATTGGAAGGAGTGTTTTTTAAAGAACAATTTGAAGGAAAATTCTTTCTTTGTGAAAGAAGCGGGGAGGTTTTCACCTTAGTCCAGGGGCAGGCAGTTATTTTGGCTGGAGGGCCGCTTAATGAATTTTGGTGAGCTGTCGAGTGCCCCTTGAATTTTGGTGCTCCTGCCCTTTGATGGGTGTCCTGCCTCCTGATTGCCATCTTGGGGCCGGATGTCCTGCACCCTAACCCCTGACCTTTGCCACCAGAAGTCTTACCCCTTGCCCTTGCAAGGTCATTTCTGACCTGGAGGGATGTGGGCAGTGGGGTCCCTCAGGGCTCGGTCCTCGGGCCTGCACTGTTCAACATCTTCATCAGCGACTTGGACGAGGGGGTGAAAAGCACTTTGTTCAAATTCGCAGATGACATTAAGATGTGGGGAGAAGTGGGCGTGCTAAAAGGGAGGGACAGGTTACAACTAGATCTGGACAGGTTACAGGGGTGGGCGGAGGAGAATAGGATGGGATTCAACACTGAGAAGTGCAAGATGCTGCACCTGGGGAGGAAGAACCAGCACCATTCTAACAGGCTGGGGAACTCCCTTGTCATCAGTGCAGAGGCAGAAAAGGATCTTGGAGTCGTTACTGATTCCAAGATGAACATGAGCTGCCAATGTGAGGACATGGTCAGGAAGGCCCAACCGCACCTTGTCATGCATCCACAGATGCATCATGAGCAGGGCCAAAGAGGTGATCCTCCCCCTCTGTGACACTGGTCGGGCCGCAGTTGAAGTACTGTGTCCAGTTCTGGGCACCGGACTTCAGAAGGGATGTGGACAGCATTGGGAGGGTCCAGAGGAGGGCCACTCACATGATCGGGGACAGCAGGGCAGACCCTACAAAGCGAGGCGATGGGACCTGAACCTGTTCAGCCTCCACAAGAGAAGGCTGAGTGGGGATCTGGTGGCCATCTATAAACTTGCCAAGGGAGACCAGCAGGCAGTGGAAGAGTCCCTGTTCCCCCAAGCACTACCAGAAGTAACAAGGAACAACGGCAAGACGAGCCATATGAGGGATGGGAAGGGAGACAGAGGGCACGGGAGCAAAGGGTAAAAGAAGCAGAACATGGAATGAAGTTGAGGTGAGCGGGCCAGCTGTGCCAACCCTCTTTCTCCTTCAGTCAGCCCAAGGCAATCCATGTCTGATGGCGCTTGTATTGCCTGCTAGTGGTTACACCCTCTGGCTGGCTCCTCCCTGTAGTTTTTCCTCAACTAATGTGATCTATGTTAGCTAATCTTAACCTGGGGTAAACCTGGGTCTCATGACTGACCATAACTGTTGAACACCAACTGTGTATTTCCCATGGGCCATTCTCAGGGAGATTTGGGGTCTGTTCTTAGTGTGTGTGCATGCTTAATGTTGAATTCCACAGACACACGAGAGTATATTTTGAATTGGAACAGTTTCCTTTTTTCTCTGGACAAGGAAAAAAGTTTATAAAATACCTGAAACATTTGTATTCTAATTCAAAGTAGATAATTTCCTGAGGGCTTTTCAACCCTCCAGGAATTCCCAGGAAATGCCAACAAGGTAATCACTCTGATTGCATTATTCCTCCTACGCTTGGAAAGCACCACTTAATCCTTGTTAACATAATACGGGGATGGATAACTTGTACGGCATCCCTGATTGCCGAGTTTCTTTATCAAGGACATGACTTGGGATGCAGCTCATGAACCAGCTTTTCTGTTAATTTTCTGCAGCAGAATCTCTGGGATAGAAGCAGGAGTCGGCTGAGGCTGCAGAATTTTTATCCTGATATAGAGCTGTCTTGTCTCCCCTTCTTTCCAAGTGTGCACAGTCTCTCTCTATGCTCCACTTCCTAGCTTTCTTTATAAATTATACATTTGTATGGCTCCAGATTTGCTGTGAGGTTTTGGGTTTTTGTTGTTTTTTTTTTTGCCTGCTGTTCTGAATCTTAATGAGCACCCCGGGGATGTGGAAATGCGGGTGGCTTTGCTTCAGACAGGCACAGAAGTGCTGAGCACTGCTGACATAAATATAGAGAACCACATGGCTGCTTCCTTTCCTTTATCCCAGTTTAGGTATTGAGGAGGAGAAGGGAAAAATGTGTAAAATGTAATTTTTAAGCAGCATTTTTGACTGACTAATGCCTTTAGTAGCTGGTTTAATGCTGTTCCGAGGTGATAACAAAGTTAAGATGCCATCAGGTTTGGGTTGCATATATTCACAGTGCCCTTGGTGGAGATGGAAGCAAGTGTGAATGTGATGCTTGATTCGTTTCACTCATCTGCTTCTGAATCAGCAGCCTTAGGCAAAACCTGGGAGAGAAGCCATGTGGTGACTTCTCCTAACATGAAAATACCGCATATCCTATCTAGATACCACAGGCACAACGTATTGATACACTTCCAAACATCTTTTGAGCGTTTCAGAGTGCTTTAAATCAAATACTTTACTTTTTATGTTAAATATCAGCTCACATAGATATACAGAATAGAAAAAACATCCATTAAAATGTACAGTGATGTATCTCTGCTTATGTTTGTTCACAACTGGCATATTCAGTGCAGACTTTTAGTGCAGCCTTATGGTGTCTTGCCGAACAGCTGTTTCTGAACTTTGTGAAGAGCCAGCAATAGGAATAAGAATGGAAGGGGTGGGGGTGGGGGGAGGAGCGGCAGACAGACCACAGTTGTTGCAGTCTCAATTTTGCATTTCTTGACTTGTAATTTTTTTTAACAGTGCAGCCTTAATCTTGGCAGTGTCATAATTTTTAGATTTAATTTCCTTTTCATGAAGAGGAGGAGAAGGATATGGAGTTGGTTAGCTGACATTGTGAGTTTTACAGCTGTGTCTGGTGCATTCCTCAGACTGAAACGTGCACTTGTGGAAGGCAGTAGTAGTGTGCACGGCTGCAGGATGTGATGGTGTCTGCAGCAACACAGACTCAAACTGGTAACAGGAGCACGCTCTAATGAAAAGACCAACATGGCCATCCTTGTTTCCTCGTGGGGATCCCCTTGACAGATGTTGGCCAGTACATCCATTATTTGGCAGCTCATCTTCAGATGCTGTGGTTAACTGAATGTTTAGCTGAAAGATTTTTGGTGTTCTGTGCAGTATAAAATAGTTTGTTGTAGAGCTTAGTTTTTGAGATCCACTATTAACTTCTGGTGCAATCTTTGAGTTAGGGTTTCTTGCAAAGAGATTTCTGTTTTAAGCAAAGGTCATATAATGGTGAGTGGAACTAGTGATCCACCAGGTGCGTCTAGCAGAGTGAGCTTTAGTTTAATCAGAAAAATTGTGTTAATGTTCTCAGATTTATTTGAGAACCTCTATAGACATGGTTAAGTCTTAAAAGTGACCCTAAGGGGAAATTTTTAAAAAGGATTTAGGATCCAAATTCTTTAATGGAATATTTGGGGTAAGGACACAGGTTTAAATATTATTTATTACTTTTTTGACTATCAAAACTTTAGGTTAGTGTTCTGTGCCATTCTCCTTCTCTTTCCACTTCAAAGGCTCTAGACCAAGGGTGAGAAATCTATGGCCAGCAGGCTGAATCCGACCCTTGAAGAGGTTGGATTCACCCTTTGAAGGTCAGTTCCAACCCATGGCACCCAAGGGATCAGCAGCCTGAAGTTGCACTGAGTCACCCATCCTCTCTGCAGCCCTCCCTGCTGTGGTCTCATGCCTGTGCTAACCCTTACACAGAATTTGCTTGTCTTTATTGCCTTTGACAATGGAAGTCGCTGGTGAGAGTAAGCAGTGGTGGCTTGGGCACTCCAGGCAGGTGATAGAGATTTCTAGTCTGCGGTGTGGACTGAGTCATGAGCAATGGCCTCCTATCAGAAAGCTCTGATACTCTAAGCAAACTCCTGAAATGTGGTAAAGAATGCACCTCTGTCTGGGTCAAATCCTGACCACTGTGCCTGATAGGTATAGTATTAAAACAGAAAAGAGATTTCAGTTTGGGTCACTTCTTTAGATAGATGCAGGGAAGCTTTTACACCTCCTTTAAAAGACAGCTTTAAGGGGTCTACCCCAAATTAGCAGTGTATCCTAAATATCTTTAAAAGAACTGTAGCACATCTAGGCCACTATTTTTGTTGGTACTTGAGCGGTAACCCCAGGGCACACTGTATTCTGTTATGGATTGGGTTCCTGAACAGTATGTTCACATTAGTTTTTTGATAAAGTATTTAAGTTTGACATTGGCTGATCTAAGATACTTGGCCAAAGTCCACTGGCATCCAATTTCCATACTGTAAGGCAGCAGTATAGGCCTTGGAAATGAAAACCATCTTTGTAATGTCAAACCTAAATGAAGTTCTATTACATTTCATTTGACAAGTGGAGTGAGCCTACTGGATTTTAGTGAGAGTTCAGCAAATTGGTGGATTAACAATGTAGGGTTTAATGAGGTTTTGCTGGAACAAAAAGAGAGAACTTCTATGCTTTAACCTCTGGTTTTTCACCCTATTCTGAAAAAATATGCTTAAGGTATTTTTGCATTAAAGAAGGGGAATAACAAAGCTTACTCTCTGTGGGTGTTACAGGGTGCAAAAGAATTACAGCATTGGTAGTAATTGGTGAGTTTCTTCATTAAGTATTGTTCTTGTCACTTGTTTCTAGATGAAGACTGTTAGTGTTGCCTTAGTTTTGTGCCTAAACGTTGGTGTGGATCCTCCTGATGTGGTGAAGACAACTCCCTGTGCCCGGCTCGAATGCTGGATAGGTAAGTCCATTGAATATATTTAGGAGCAGTTTGGAAATTTTGCTTTTTCACATGAAAGCTCAAGCATATAAGGACATCACAGCCTCACCAACATGTTTCTTCTGGGCTGAACCAAAGGAAGTCTGTGACATCCAACTCGATTATGGCTGTGTAAATTAGATAATCCACCAATGACTACTTTTCCTGGTTTCTTCCAAAAGACAGTAACCCAAAGCTGATTCTTTTGCCTATAGTTGTCTTTCTAAAATTTCTTTTAAGTTTATTGACTACCCAACCAGAACTCTGTTAGGGTTTTAAAGTAACATGTGGTACGAAACATTAAGAAAATTAAATAAAATAATGCTCCATCACTGCAAAGGAACAGTTTAGCCAAAGTGCTCCAAAATAGACAAGTCGTATTGTTTGTTTGAGAAGGCACCTCCTTGGTTATCTTGGACAGGGGGAAGTGAGTTTCAAGGACCAGGCTTCTTCTCAGAAAACATCTGGTCAGCAGTCTTTTTTGGAGTGCTTGCTTCATTAGTATGGCAGTGGACAGTAGGCCCAACCTTTACGTGAAAACGGGGATTTCCCTGTATTTGGGGACAAATCTGTTTCCCGTCAAATTCATCTGGTCTTGATAATACTAGGCTGAAGCATGTGGTGTGTGTAAGCTGTCAAAGAGCTGTGTTGTTTTTAACTGTAGGTTGAAAATGCCCAGCCTCTGTATAAGTGATGCTTTAAGCCATGCTATCTTGAATGTAGAATTGTGGGGCTTACAGAAGGCTGCAGAAGCAAATGCTCCATTGTATAAATGGAGTTCCTTCATTTATAAAACTACCCTTTCTCTTGCTCTGCACTCACTAAGATGACAGCATGCTCTCAAAGATGGCAAAATTCTGAAGATAATTGAGGTTCAAAAGCTGTGAACAAGCACCAACAAGTAAATCCATCTGGTGGAACACACAGCTTTTAGTTTGTTTTATAAGTTAAAAAGTGAAACCAAAAGTAAACTGAGTGAGAAGAGAAAACCAGGAGCAACTGGGACTCATCAAAATGAGATAATTAAGGATTGTAATCAGCAATGAGAATTCTGAGCACAGCTTCTTATTTCAATTTATACGACGTAAGTGTCTGTCTGAGGCTTAGCTCACCTTTCTCATAAATTTAAAATAAACATGTAAGAAGAAAAAGAGTTTCCCTTCCCCACACAGCAGTCTAGTTCTGAGATGACAAAATGGTAACAACCCCTGCATCTGAAAGAACCATACATAAAACCCAGGCCAAAAGGAGGCAGCGAGCACTGCTGTTATGATGGTTCAACAGTAGTTGAGGATTTCAAATGAGAGCCGCTGCTTCTGTTGGCAAACAACAGGCCCACAGACCATCAAAGTCAGTTGTAGTTCTCATGTTTTCTGGATTTCATTCCTGTAAAGGGTGATGACTAAATTCTAGAGGATCTCATGCCTGATCATTGATCAAAGCAGCACTAATATAACATCCCCTCCACTAAAGCTTAAAATTACCTTTTGAGTCCAGGGTTAATGGTTACTACCCAAGTCTGTTGGACCTTGGGAGAATTTAACTAATTAGGTAATGCTTACAAAGGGTGGCCTTAGCTGAAACTTTCCCTGAAACTGCTGCATTATTGTGGTTTTGTGCAGATTAAATCTTAGCTAGCTACCTTGCATTCATTCCCTAATGTCAACTGGACACCAGTAAAGACTCTAAGAGTTGGTGCCATGACTGTACTGCAGGTACTCTGCCCAGGTTTCTCTCCTAATCCTTTCAGTAGCCCTGTGCTATGCACTGTACAGGAAGGGAGATGAGCTGAAGCCCCCAGGATGATGAGCAGTGTTCAAAAGCACTCTCAGAAAACTCTCCTTAGTGAGGGACTGGACCCATCCATCCAAGAACAGCCCGTGTGCTCCTGCCATAGTCTGCTGGCTAACTGGTGCTGGCTGGACAGTTCATTCTTTTGGCTTGTTGTAGCCAACAGTAGTAGTCAGAGTTAACACTATTGTTCAAAAGTACTTCAGTCAAAGGATAAGAGGCATATTGAAAAAACAAGCCAGGTTAAGTAAGGGCCTTACTGTAACTGCCAGATGCCCACAGCTTTGGCAGGTTGTGAATTTTATGTAAGGTGACTCTCTGTACCTTCTCTTGCTGTTGAGAATCTCAGTCTGTGCACCTTTCATGTGCAGGTAATACATTAAAAAATATTGGGTCTCGAGTGATTAGGTAATTCTTCCTGCAATCTGTTCCATTTATCTCCTTGGAACTGCAGTCAAAGCAAATATGCAGCTATGAATTCTAGCAAGGTGAGGCATTGGCTTACACATCTGTGGTAGTTTTGCCTTGAATGAGCACAGAAGCACTGCTGCTTTTGTCTCCAATTTGTCTTCTTGAAATCTAAGGTTGTTAAATGTTACACTTTCACTCCACGTAATACATACTGTTTTTATAATATTTCTTCTCCTCTTTAGAGAAACGACACCTGTCCTTTCTTTTTGCATTGTTTTATGGTCGGACATTAAATGCCGTAACAGTAATGTAGAAAATGTCATTCAAAAGATGCATGCCCTGTAGCATGCTAAGAAAAATCTGTGTTTTTAGGCATGGCATAAATGAGCTGAATGCTGAAGAGGGGGGAATGTAATTTTACAGAAATCTCTTTATGTACATCACCTAATGGAAATTGTGCATCAAAGCAAGGCAGGAATACATAAGGAGTTTTGTAAGCGTTCCTCGAAATGCATAAGCCCTGAAGTGGTGCTAGATATACCTAAGGAGGTGCCTATTGTTCCCCATCTGACTTTAAGACCTGTGCTGTGACATTTTTATACTGGTTGGAAAACAGTACATTGTTTCATTGTACTTGAGTTCTTGTCCTCGGTCCTTGCCAAAAATACATCTGTGGTTGAGATGCCTTGCTAACCGGGGAGGAAAATCTCATAACTTCATCTTTTATGATTTTTGATCTTACTTTGTAACTGCAGGATTCATGGAAAGATTTCTTCTCCTTCTTCTTCCATATCTCGGTAAGGAGAGTAAACATATACACGTTGACATGGGCGGATCTAAGATTTCGAAAAGGGGTGTGCAGATGGTGTGGCATCATTGCATAAAACACAAAACATTGTTCTCCAGTTGAAGAGAAGAGAAATGCTTTATTAATATGCTAGAGGGCTAACACTATATTATTCAGTTTAAGATTAAAGCAGAAACCAATATAATTATTGGAATGTGCACTGATTTGCTAGATTGTGTACAAAGTTTTAAAAAACAAACTAGTCAAAACAAAGTTAAAAGATTTTTATTAGTCCTGTAGTCATTAGAGTTAAATGTACATCTCTTACTCAGATTCATAGAGCAAAATATAGCCTTTTTGAGTATTTTGACAGTGCTTCCACTACTTCAGTCAATCATTTCTACACTTGAGTTAATATTACCATACCCGAGTTAAGTTTTTAGCTAGAGCTAAAAGCAGGCTGCCAGACTGTGAAATAGAAGAGAGACATTACCAGGAATGGCTAACTGACAGCAAAATTGCAGGAGAAAGGATAACTTGAAATGGAAACAGTGGAACATGAAGACCATTAAAAAGGGTAGAGGACTGTTAATGCCTGAATCCAGGAGATGACAGTGAGCCATTAAGGCAACTGACTCTCTCAACACTGCCTGAATAGCAATGCAGCTCTCCCTCCATGCAGGTTTTTTTTAAGTTTGAGTGGAGCAGAACTCTAAGAAGGGTGCAACTGTATCGCTGCACCCCTGCTGCATCTACCTCAGCAGATTGACTTATTCCTGTATAAAACTGGAGGTCTCCCCAGCTCTAGCTAAGGCCACCCTTTGTAAGCACTACCTAATTAGTTAAATTCTCTCATGGTCCAAGAGACTTTGGCAGTATTTTTGGGCCTGGGCTTGATGGTTAATTTTAAGCTTTAGTAGAGGGTATTTTATGTTAGTGCTGCTTTGCTCAGGCATGAACTCCTCTAGAATTTAGTCACCCTTCAGAGGATTGAGTAAACTCCTTTAAAGTTGTTGAATGTGCCTGTGCCATTTTCCCTGGGTGCTCACTCCAGCATACTAACAGCTCCCCCCAAAATGGTACTGCTATATGTTATGTTTGCACACGGCTTGGAAAGGGTCTGCTAAAAAAGGGCCTGCTGCCTCTTGTGGCATTCCACAGCCCACGGCAAATTCTTTCACTCGCAGAGTGGAAGGGGAGTGTTGTTTGTTAGGCTCATTATGCACTTTCACAAATCCAGCTTGACTCTTTCCAGGAACACAAAACAATCCCGAGTGTGTATCAATCTGGTTTGTTAACTGCAGGGTACCCTGGCAGCACTGTTGCATAGCGAAGCTGCCATCAGTTCTGAGGGAGTCTGTGGGATTGTTAAGAGATTATTGTTAACCAGATCCAAAGGCTTCTGGCCAAAATTTGGCTTAAGTGACAGTAGGCTTCAAGCAGCTTTTACACAGCTTTTGTTTTCAGGATTGAGTGGCAAAGATTTTGCTGCCTTTTAAAATAGACTTTCTGTCTAAAGGTCTCAGTGTTGGAACCGGGTGTTTACTGGAGCTGAATAAATGTCCTGTTCTTGCACTGAAGGACCGGCACCCCTCCATGAAGCTTGTGGTTAAACTGATGGAGCAACCCGTAGTTTACCTAGAACGTTCTGCCTGTATAAAACAGAGCAGAAAAACCTATGGATATACTGTTCTGTGCATCCCTTCTGGTATCTCAAGCATGTAGAAATGTTAATGATCCACTCACAAAAAAAAAAAATTACTGTGAAGAAATAAAAATACTATGTTTATACTTCAGTGTTAGCCTTTGTTTTCTTAAGAAAATGGAAGTCATGATTAAAAAATTCCTGTTTTCTCCCATACTTTCATAGTGTGATGGTATAAACTTCTACAGCTTGAGGTATGCAGTAAAATATTTATTCTAAAAACATGTAAAGGCCATATGACTTCATCAGTTTTATATACTGCTTTTTCAGTTAATCTGCCCACTACCCCCTTCTAGATTTTTGATACTTATTCATTCAGTCAATTCCATGGCCCCAGGTTTTGAGCAGAGCGCTGGAGCAGAAGCTGGCCTTCCAGAATGTGTTGGTATGGTGGTGTAAGAGAAGGAACTTTGTGCTGAAAAGTATAATACCTTTTAAAAAGTTATTTAAGTTTCTAGTAATAAGCCTTTATTTCCAGTAATATCAAATCTTGTTTCACTCACTGCCATTGCTTAGTTTCAGGGATGATACTTTATTTATTGGTAACTTTTTGTTGTCTACATTATTTACATTGTTATTGTCGGTTCTTATGGAAGCATAGTTTCAATATTTACAGAAACAAAAGTTACACCTCTCACTTCTCTAAGCAGATTTTTACTTCTCACTTTGGAGAACATAATGCTCATTGCAAATTTGGCAGACGTTGCTGTGTGTGTTAATTTTGTATAATAATGCAGAATATGAAACTAGTTTCTACTGTCTCCTTTAAATAACTGCAGTGAGAAGCATAATGAGTATGGACTTGAAATTGATGACTTTACCTGAAATAATAAATAGCATAAATTGGGAAAGAAGCCTTTTATTAGAATATCATAACATCCATTTCATTACACACACAAATTGCTGCAGACTGAAAGCAAGACATTTTTCAACAATTCTCTCTTACTGCATTTACCTTGGTACAAACACTGATGGCCCAGATCTCTAATTGTGCTGTCAGAGCTCACACTGGACTTGACAGAAGCCAAACCAGGAATAGGTGTATGTGGCCTATGAATTCGACATGGTAGTCCACATGGCAGTGGAAATGATTTTCGCTTAATATAAAAGCAAACTGAATAGAGTAATGGTCAGAAGTGTTAATGCATGTGTTTTATATTTCTTAGATCCTCTGTCAATGGGTCCTCAAAAAGCACTGGAAACCATTGGTGCAAATTTACAGAAGCAGTATGAAAACTGGCAGCCAAGGGTAAGTTGTATACTCTGCTTTCCTTTTTGTACCAGTATCTGTACAGCTCAAGGATAGAAAGAGGTAGTTAGCTGTGGTAACATGAAGGTAGGCAGAAGGCACAAGAGAGGTGCACCTTTTATAGACTAACCAAATCAGAGGCATAAACCTCTGACAGAGCTGGGTGTTGCTCACAACAGTTTGTTCCTTTCTGACTATTAGTCTATAAGGAGCATCTCTACCCTGCCTTCAACTCAAAGCTTTTCCAAGAGAGACTCTGGCTTAGGCTAAGAAGGAAGTTACTCACCATTATGTAACTCAGTGATCTCACAGCATCCATTGCTTGCTTAATCCATTCATGTATATAGACTCTTGCAGGCTGTCAAACTCAATTACCTCTCTGATTGGTCTGCTGCATGGCTACCACTTTGTTTAATCGGGGCAGAGGTAATTGTTCTAAGTTCTAGGCGCTACACTGGCACTTCTATTAAGCTTTTCTACCATTACTGTATTTTTGGAGACTTTTTAGATCTTTTTTTTTCTTTCTCTCCCCCCCCCTTTTTTTTTTCAGTTCATTGTCTCTTCTGTAGTGAAATTGCTCTCAGTGTGAATTTCTGCAGTGTCAGCTAGTTCAGAGGCATGTCTCTTGGCTCTCACTTAGCAGTACATTTTCTTTTAACATTTTTGCTGTAACATGAATAATGTTGTAAGGCCACTAGCAAGTAGATGTTCTTGATTTTGTTCAGAAAGATATTTCTAGGGATTTGGTCACTAACTGGTAACTGTCTGATGTGTGGTGCATGCATATTTTTTTGGAATGGAAAATGAAATAAAGATATCATCATAATGGCATAAAGCAGGGATAAGTTGCCAGCAACTTGCAGCTGTCCTTTCATTTCCTACTTATATTACAAATAATGTTGGTTTTTTTGGTAAATGTAGTGGTTTCCTGATTTTTCAGTGCTCAATCAGGGTGTACAAGGATGAGAGTTTTATGTTTTTAACTTTTTCCTGTTCATTAAAGTTAAAAAAACAAACCCAATTGAGTCATCCCTGCCAACATGGTTCCTTAAGACACTTGCCTATGCCTTGTTCTTCAGGTCTTAGGCAGCAACCTTGTTGGAGCAAAGCACTTCCTTCTTGTGTACTGCACATCACAAAGCACATCCACTACTAAACAATAACTTGTCAATAAAAAATAGTTCTGATGTGGCCTGATCTGATTGGGAGAGAAGCAGCTTTACCAGATGGGCTCTTAACTGCACACTCATGTATTCCTTTTACATCTTGTGTTGGCAGCTGGAATAGATTTATCCTCTTAGGTCTGGGAGCTCCTCTTCAGTATCCACAACAGAGTATGTTGAAGGGATATTGTTTCATCCCTTCCTTTTTAACTTCTCTCTTCAGTGCTCAGCATGTTTCAAAGTTTTGTACACCTTGCTTGTCAGCAAAAGGACTCTTGTGTTTCCTGTCCACTGTCTGGGTTTTGTACATGGAGTAATAAGATGGCCAGTCTGCTGGGGGTTTTTTTGGCTAAAATCTTGCTTTGTGTATGCATTATGAATGTTTCACAATTTCAAGAGTCTCTTGATATTTTATGAAACTCTGAGGAAACCCTGGTGGAAAAGGCTTTGTCCTGGTTTTAGCAAGCCTTTAGGTAATTTTAATCAGTCACTCTAAAATCTAATTGGTTACACACAGACTTAGGGATGTTTCATAATTAATTTACTAGTTTCTGTATAATTTATAAAATCAATAAAGATAAATTGCTACTGCAAATGTTTTGTTTGGTCCTTGAGCCTGAAGATGCCCTGTCTTGCTCTTCTCATGGCAGGCATCTCTTCCTGAGCAACTTTTTTTTTTTAAAGCCTTTATTCAAGCTGATTGCAATTCATAAAGGATTAATACCTTGATCCAGTGATGGGAGTATTCTTCCATTAAAGGAGAAATGATTCCCTTAGGGCATTTTTTTCTGCAGAAGGCATCAGTTTATTTCTGGTGATACACTAGGAAAATCACTGAGAAATGCAAGATCTGGTGTATGAAGAGGGTGCAGACATTGTTGTTGGATGGTCTTTATCAAAGTCTCTATATTTTCTGTCTCAAAGATGAGGAAAAGTAATCTGTTCAGAGCAGTTTAATGAACATAAGGTTGATATAGACTTTTTCACTCTTCACAACCTTTTAATTTTTTTCTTTTACTGGGTGCCTTTACACATGCACTTTACTGTGGAGTTGACTAATTAGCTCCTTAGTAAAGCGTCACCATCTACATGTGCTGGGGTTTTTTTTGGCTAAAATCTTGCTTTGTGTATGCATTATGAATGTTTCACAATTTCAAAAGTCTCGATATTTTATGCAACCCAGTATTAAGGTGCGGTAAGCCAACTCCACTGTAAAAGTATTAAGGTGCAGTAAACTAACTCTACTGTAGGATAGTACTATCTGGGACAAGTTCTATCCTACAGCAGAGTCATTTCATGCACTGCAGTGGACGTGTAGATGGTGACCAGGGCCTGCTAACCCTGCATTGTAGTGCTCTTGTGCTCCAGCCAGCCCCTCCACAGCATGTTGAGCTGGGGTGGAGCAGCCCTGGGCTGGCAGGCCCCCTAGGTCTCCTGCCAGCCACTGGCTTAGCCTCAATGTGCTGAGGTCCTGGGCACATGTGTAAATGCTGCACCCGGGAGTAACAAACTTTGGCGCAAACTGCGCTGGAGTCTATTTCTACATGCTAATTGCATGTGTAGATCCACCCACTGAGTAAAAACTCAACTCCAAAGGCATTACCTGCAGAAAATTTGTAGTATTTGTTGGTGAAACTCTACCTCAAGGTAAAAGACAAATCCACGGATGATTTCCTCAATGTCCCTCTTTGATACAAGTGTTCAGTGAGTGTACTTTTTTGCAGTGGCATTTTTTTTAATAGGTCTTTGTTTAAGAGAGCCCTGTCTTTATTGGTAGACATTATATTTAAGACAGGCTAATGTTCCTTTGCATTTTTCCTTTTGGAGTGCTGGAATTGACTCTTAATTTCTCTTTATTGAGTAAAAGGACTGGCTGACACCGAAAAGCAAATATGGTGTGTGGAATCTAATATAGTAGTAAAACACCTTGATGTAGTGGTAAAAACAAACACTTCTCTCTGTTGGTTAATAATAGAGCCCATGGTACTGGAGGATGGGGACTGGATTCTGGTAGCAGCAGGTATTCTGCGTGTGGGCAGACCTCACGCCGCCTTGTAGAGTTTGCACAAAACATGAGGCAATTACCGAGCTCAGATGTTTGTGTGCAAGGTGCCCAGTTCTTAACAGTAAATCACAGCCCTTTGAAACATTGCGAGGCTAAACACGTACCACTTTATTGCACTCTACAGGGCTTTTGAGTTTTCTGCAGTAATAAAGAGAAGTTGATGTGCCATCTGCAATAAAACAATAGGAACATTATTGAATTTCCTAGACCTTTCATGTAAATACTAATAGATCTAGTTTTGTCTCTTTCTCTGTGTTTTGGCATGGTTGGAGATTTGGAAGGAGGAGGAAGACTTGGAAAGAGGACACCTAAGCAAACTGTACTGAGGCTGGATCATTAAAACCTTGTGAGAAAACTTGCATTATGGAGCTGCCAATGTGTGCCTGTAAATGAGGAAAATACCTGTTGTCACTATCTAATTGGGAATGTGTGAACAGTACTAATTAACTATAAACTGACCAGGGCCAATAAAGGAGGAACTTCCCACAGGGTCCTTAAGATTGACAAGATTTATCGAAGGCCTGTGCAGTCTTGTTTGACTTTAAGCACAGGATGCTGTATGAATCAAGGTCTAGATAATTGTTGGTTTAAACATTACAAATAGCCGATGTGGAATTTCTGAAGAGGGGCAGGCTTGCAAATTCTGTGTTTCTGAAAACTCCCAGGCTGTGTGTCTGGTACATATTTCCTTGCCAGGCCTTATTGAGCCCCTTTCTAAATAATTTATCAGTTTGCCATTGCTTGAAGTATTTCTTCTGATTAAATTTAAGACTTTGCTTTATTGCTGTGTAGCTACATAAATTTGTGTGCTGCAGGAGGGGGGGGAACACTTCAGCCATTGTTTCATCTGCAAACTACTGCAGTTAAATAAAATTCAGTCATTTCATTGCAAGTCTCAAGTGAAAGTTTTACTAGGAGAACGAAGTAGGAGATTGCAAAGCTGCGGGCGCACAATGAAGAATTTATCTCTCTAAAGAATTTTCCTAACAAATTGGAGCTCTGGCAGTTTGGCGTGGAGATAATTTAGGTGTTGGTGAAAAAGTCAGTTAAGAAAATAAGAGTCTTGCCTTTATGTTGCCACCTCGCTCCCCTGGAGGGAAATCCTTGACAGGTTTACTTTGGGGATTCTTCATGTACTTTGTGTAAGGTATTGAGGTGAGATACTGATCAGGCTTAAATGTCTCATCAGGTGTCCTTTCCCTCCCTCCATTGCCTGCAAAATGCTGTAGGGAACCATGTGCTGGATAAGCACATTGGCTTACATGTGATGGCAACAGGTGATGAATACTTACATTTTTGGAGGGGAGAGGGGTTGGCTGGAATTTCTTTTAGCCCTAGTGCCTGTTATACTGTGCAAAGGAGATGGATTTCTTTTAGTCGAAAGCCAAGAGATGAATTGTATGCAGTACAGAACCATGGAAGAGGAAAGCTGCCGACTGTTAAAAGCCCTGCTGCAGTGAGGGGGGTTCACTAGCCTGTAGAAGCTACTGCGTTCCCTGAACAGAGCCTATTGTTATGTGAATCAAAGACTTCAGTCCAGCTGTCTGCAGGGCTTGGGCCTCAAGTTCTTGTTCTGACGTCCGGGCAGATTTTCAGGAGTGGAATGGAGGGCTATAGGGAAGGAGGAGGGAGGAGCCCAACTTCCTAGAGTTGTGCTTTTTATAAGTCAGTGCTCTGTTTTCTGATGACCTGGCTAGAGAGAACGCAAATGTTTCTCTGCAGCCTCTTGGCTTGAGTTATCTGATTTGGGCTACAGTTGCTTTGGTATATGA